GTAATTTCCTGTATCTGGCAACACTCAAAGAAAAACCAGCTTGCAGTTCAAATCTTTAATGAGAGTTTGAACTGAAATCAAATTGAAAGAAAATTCTAGAAGATATAAAACATTCAAGATAATAAAATCTTTAGAAAATTGAACCGTTCCAAAAAAATTGGCAATGCCACATGAGTTGTTAGGCAACTCAATATTTACTAGTTTTATTTTGTAAAAGAAATTGGAATGTTTTTTTTATTATGGGTTACATGATCAATAGCCCAAGAATCTAGGATATAAAATTCATTACCTTCCTCAGTTTTAGCACTAAAATTACACATTTGTTGGTTGCCTTTATCCTGGTTGTCTCTTTCTTAATTATTGTTGTTGTAATTGTTCCTTTGTTTGTACCATTGAGAGTATCCATGCTTGGAATAGCATTAATTAATTGTGTAATTCATCTTATGGCAGTAAGAACACTATTTCCCATAGTTCAAATTCCTCTTTCTTGTTGCATAATCATGGAAAAAACTTTGTTCATGTTTAGTAGAGGCTCCATTAAATGAATATGAGTTTTTATGTTATTGTAGGGATCATTTAGGCCCTTTAGAAAATAGATGACATATTCATTTTCTCTTGTTTTCGTGAAATTTCTAGGCAGATCACATTCACAAGGTTTTGCACAAACACAATTGGGAATAAGCCTTAAAAAATATAATTCTTCTCACGAAGTTTTCAAATCAATATAATATTGTATAACATTTTTCTCACATTGCTTTATTGAGTGAACTTCTTGTAGAAGATATGAGACATGAAAATAATCTCCCTTTGAGAATCTATCTCTTAATTCATCTCATATCCCTTTAGCATTGTCAATGTCTATGACACTGTCAGTGATTTGGGAAGACAACGTTTTGTGGATAATGGTCACATTTGATCTTTCTAATGCTTCATAGATAGGATCATCTTTTTTTAGGAGTCTTGATGCTTCTATCTAAAAACTTGAACTTGTTCTTGGACAGAAAAGCTCTCTTCATGCTTCTGCTCCAAGAACTATAGTTGATTTCATTTAAGGATTGAGGGACAAGAACAAAACTAGAATTTTCTCCTAGGTGAAGGTAGTAAGGATGAGAGATTGATCTATGTTGTTGGTCTATATGGTGGTAACACTAGTCCTGGTGTTGTTCTTCATGATATAGACACGCAAGATCCAAGAACCTGGAAAAAAAAAAGGCAGAAGCAGAGTAGGCCTTAACACACGCTCTGATACCATATTAAAATTATTTCATGCTTAAATGATGATAAAATTTTACCAAGATACTTATTGACAAAGGAAAAGACGCAGAGACTAAGAGAAAGAAAAGTCTCCATCTTCCTCCAATATGGAAGTGAAGAAGGAATAACTAGATCAGTAAGAGAAAATATAAGAAAACTGAACCCTTTATTATGTTTTTTCAAGATTATAAAAAGAGGAAGCTAAACAGGAATAAGTAAAGATTACAAAAGAAAAAAAAAAACTCTTAAGAGCTAGACTAAATGTAAAATAGAAATCCTAATACCCTTAGGTCACGATATTTTTCTTGGTACTTCATGAAATTTCTTTTTGAAAACACATACAATTACCTAACATCTTTCTATTTTGTGAAGTTGCAATTCACTCTGCACATTTTCCACACGTTGATTATGTTCAAATAATGCTAGCTCAAAATTAAAAAAATACTTAAATATTGAACAAATAGCGATTGAGTAAAAGTTTATAGGATTGACATAAAGTTGTTTAATTATTGTATTAAAATATAAATATTTAGTAAATTGTTTATTGAAGCAATTGATAAATGAAAATGATAAATAAAAACATATGTGATATTTTAGGTTTTGTCTGTAGTCATGTCATGTTGACTTTCCAAACTTTACTTTTTTTTCATTGGAGGTTTCAGGAACATGGAAGTTCATCTATTCATCTTTTTCTTTTTTTCACTCCATTAATGGAAACAAACATTTACAAATGATCTCGCATCCCTTTTCCTCCCTCCTTTACAATTAGGAGAAACAAACAAAGCATTAGTGATTTTATTTTATTCCCTAATAAAGATGATAAAAGTGAGCAGTCTTTCTTGTATTCTCTCTTCATCAAGGATTCACTCGTTTCTACACTAATTTAATTTTTTTCTTCTTCTTTTATATTTCTTAACATTTAAAGAATTTTTATAAGAACTTGTTATACAAGAAGCACTTCTGCAGTTAAATCTACCCTTTATTTCTGTTTCATTAGCCCTTGTGTGATCGTGTGAAATCAATAAACGATTATTTATTTTCTATTTTTTAAAATTAGCCCCACAATTTAAAGAAAAGTCATGATATTTTTAGCATCAAGCAAAAACTATCCTAAACTCATAAATGTGCTGGAGAAAAACTGTCTCTTTAACAGTAATAAGAAAATTTTACATGTGGAAAAAAAAATCTTAATTTGAATATCAATGTTGTGAAACATGAATGATATTTCATATCCCAGCCATTCAATTTGCTCTTTAAAAATCTCATGAATATGGGTGAAGGCAACAAAACACACCATTACAAGCTTTAATCAAAATAAATGGTCATGGTTAGAAAGAACATGTTTGGGTTAGATTTATTTGATTTTATATGATTAATTTATTCGGGGGTGATAAGGTACAATTGTTTAGTTTTTTTTTTTTTTGTAAATCGTTATATTTTAGTTATTAGAATTAATTTTGCAATTTTAATATTCTTTTAAGGTGTTAATGACCACCTATCTGATCTTTTATTTCCAATGATCTGAAAATAAGTTTGATTGATTCGTTTTTAGAATTAAAATTAAAAATTGGTTTCTTTTAAATTTAATTTGATGTAATATTTTGTATAACATGATATTATATTTTTTATTAATATTTATTTATTTTGAAACATTTTATAAAATGAAATTAATGGTTATATGTATCGTAAATTGTTTTCCAGTATTGTTTAATTACAGAATATTAGTCATATAACCTTTAAAATAATTACTATAAAATCTAGAACCCAGTGAATAGTTTCCCATATAAGTTAAAATTAAATCAATAAATTTGCTTGTGAATTGTTTGAAAGTTATTGGTTACTTCATCAAATGCATTCTTGGTCCAACTTTTCCTTTCTCTGTGTTTCAAAAATTGAACTTTCCCGTGAGGTGGTACAATGCCTCAATCTAAGGGGAAAAGCAAAATAAGTCTTGGTTAGGTTCAAATATTCCGTTCAAAGGTCATCATAATAATACTACTATACTCTTCACTTGAAGCGAAGGAGAAATTTATTGGAGTAACTACAGAAGCAGGGACAAAGATGGACCACTTGTTGTGACCTAGTAATTATCAAGTTTGCTGTCACTTCATCTTCTAATAAATGCCATTCCACAGCATCACATGCCATTAACAAATGCAAAGCTCAACCAATTAAATGCAATATGATCACTGTTACACATGCATTTTACTGCTATGGACCGCAGACTATAGTATGTGCCTCTACCAGAAAATAGCAACTGGTGCATGTTAGTTTGTGACAACTATGTACAGGTGAATCCTAGGTTTACAATACCCTTCCACATCCATTTCTATTTTCCTCTCCTTCCATCAACATTCATATATTACATCCAACAATAAAATTGTAATACACTTCTGGTTTCATGTGCCGTTATATCAAACCCATATTATATATCCCTTAAGATCTGAGTTGAAATTTTTTGTGGAAACTGGTTGAACCAAGTGGTTAGCCATTTGTCAGCTTGGAAGCCTAAGATAGGTGTTCAAACCTGATTGGAACTACCATCTTAGATTCTTGACCTCGTTCTTAATTCTTCTTCAAAATAACTCTTCATATAATGTTTTAGTATGTGACTCTAATAATGTTTCTTGATAATGCACACAAGTCTTCTTATTTTCACGTTATCTTTATTACTAAGATTTACAGATCAATGAATTACTATATTGTTTTCATCCGTTTTATTTTTAATAACATCTATAGATAAATGAATTATTATTTTCTTCTCATCCATTTTATTTTTGATAATTAACGTTTCATGTACTTTTGTGCTTTCTTCACTTTTCTACAAATATCTTCACACAACTGTTTCTTCTTTTCAATCTTCTTATTTTACTTTATAGGTAATTCGTTCTATTATCTTTGAGTATATAAGTATATATTGGATTTAATTTAAAAGTTTTTATAGATTATTGCAAAATGTCTAAAGAGAATAAAAGAACTAAAAAAAGATTTCTTCAATTTCTTTTATGTTGGTTCATGTTTGTTAACAAAAACGGAATACGAAATTACGTTATGAACAACATTATAATATTTTTTAAACAATCATGTAGTTAGTATAATGCATAAAAATGTCAATTAAATTTTATACCAGTAAAGGGATTAGGAAGAATAGAAAAACAATATGTTATCGAGGAAAACTTGATAAAATTTCGGGGTGGATGTATTTTTCAAACGTGAAAGTAGTACATGGCAATCTATACCTTTATTTGCCTGTATTTTTTTGCCATTTAGAATAATAAAACGCAAGAATCGGGATGAGAATATCAAGATTAAAACTAAAGTATATGTTTTTTTTATCAGAGAATTTCAATAAAGTAATACACATAAAACATAAATATTTTTAAATGATAAAATATTAAAAAGCATTGAACACAGTACTAAATAATTAATTATTTAAGGAGAGCAGAGACCCCGTGTGTATACTTAATTTCATGTCCAAAGAACAACAAAATTGATTTTTCTTTCAGAATTAAAATACAGAGAGCGCAATTATTGGTACCAGTGTGGCAGTGGTTTTATTTTGTTATTATTTCAAATAATAAATATTGAGAAATTTATCATAGCACATTCTAATAAATAATAAAAAGAAAAATAATTTCCTTTTTAATTATTCTAAAGGGTCAGCATACTGATAATAATTTATCAGAAATCTAATTCATAATGTAAGGTTAATTCTATGAAAATCAAAGTTATCCAATTTAAAACAATTAAGCAAGAGTTGGAGACAAGTAGTGTGAGTTCCAATAGCTCATTTCTCGATTCATTGCTGTACATTTTGTTTGAGGAAATCAGGTACTCCAATCCAGTAAATTTATGTTCTCTTATCTGTGCTAATTAAAAATACTAATAATTAGAAACAAGATGGGGTTCACCTTCACCAAAGTCCTAAAGATACTTCCCATCCACTTTGCACTTTCCACCCAGGGGGAAAGTTGGTCAGAGCATCCAAGGGTACTTAAATAGTTTAATTTAACAATGTCGGGATGAGTGCTGCACTGTCATGTATGACAGCCAAACAAATTAAGTTCAAAATCTTACTCCAAATACTGTCCCTGCATTTATCTCTCGTTCATGTTTTACCATTCATAATACATTTACTAACTGATAAACAAAAGCGAAATTAGTATGCATAAGATCACAATTAAACCCAACCCAACCCTTTTGTTTTGAGATTAACTCCGCCAAGTTCGATAACTGAAACAAAAAAAAAGCCAACACGTGAAAGCAAATTGCAGTGAGTTCAGGTTCTTAACATGGTTGACAGAGAAAAAGAGAAATTCAGGTTTGTGTTGTGTTTGTATGCAATGTAATGACAACAAAGGCATTAACTACTGAGGACCGAAAAACAAGTACCTGAACTCACTTCTACCTTCACCTTTTTCTTCTTCTCCTCTTTCTTCTTTCTATTTACCACTACACAACCATATATCCTTTTATGTTACCAAAGACAAAACAGTCCCACCGATGAGCGCGTGTTACTCCAGGTGTCAAAACATTCAATTATATACCAAAAAAAAGAGAGACTATATTCAATTAAGTAACATTAATATATAGGAATCAAAAGAAGAGTATGGATTAATCAAATTCCAACCTTTTTTTTCCACAAATTATTTACCAGAGGGTCAATTCTGTGTCCGGTTCTCGCCGGTTCCGATTTGCACCTAGTGAGCACAGCAGGGCGTGAAGCAATGGGAGACACCGTTGGAACTCCCTTCTCGTCAGATAATAAGTCCTCAACCTTTTCTGGTTGGGCCAGAGAAGCAATTTTTGTTGCGATAAACCCCAGCTTGGGTTCCGTTTGGGGTTCCTCGGAGGCGGGTTCCGTGTTTGGAAACTCCGTTTCTTGGTCCTGAACGGGGGAACTCCAAAACCTACAAGCCAGCGACGAGGATCTGTACGGCGCGGATCTACAACGGGTTAACAATAAAGCGTTTTTCGGGGGCGTGGTTGAATTGGAAGCAAATGGAACGTTATGTTTATCCACATTCGTTTTCTCTTGGAACGCTGATTCCGACTCTTCGTGGTGGTTGGGCCGGGAGTGTTGTTTGGGCTTCGAGCGGAAGAAGGGCCAGGTGGGCCAGAGGGGCGGGCAGAGACAGGGGTTGGGCTTTGGAATCCAGCGGCAGCGGCAGCAGCAGCGCGTGGGAGGGGCGTCGCGTTTGGTGTTGGAAGAGCGTTTAACCCGGACTTGCCCCATGCACGTGACCTTGGGGGAAGATGGTTCCTGGGTGGTTTGAGTTTGGATGGTAGTGGTGGTGGTGTTTTTCTTGCGCACGAACATTGGGCTTGACCTGGACCTTCTGCTTCTACTCCCTGCATTGCTCCGGAGGAACCTCATGAGCGGAGGAGGGAACTTGTCTGTCCGACCCGGACTCGAAACGGGTTTGGCGGATAGCCTCATGTGGACGTGGTGAAGGAAGGTGTTTGTTCCACTTTTGTTGCTAATGGTAACGCTTCCCCGAATGTGTGAGAGTGAGTTTGGTTTGGGTGTGGTAGTAATAACGACTTCTTGTGAAACGCAATGAAGATGGGGTTTGTCTTGGGGAGCTTGCTTTCTGCAAAACGCTTTTACAATTTTTGTTTTTTGCTGTGGACTTTTTAATTTTTATTGCATCTTCGCACGGATGGGTGAATCCGCTTTACTGTCAAGATCTTTTTTATTATTTCGAGGCTGTGAGCTTCTCTTTGTTCTTCCCCTCTCGGTCGCATCTTTTTTTTTTCCTTTTTTACATTTTCCATCTCAATCATAATATTCTTTTTTTTTTTTCAAATAACAAAATTCCAAATTCATACTGTTCATATTTAGCTGTATTTTTTACGTTTAAAATTTTCAAGAGTATTTTATTATTCGGAATACATATTTAATAGTATGAAACTACAACAAACAAATAACAAATAGCTGAATTATCAAATTTCCAAGTCTGTAGAAAAAATAGGAACGAGAATCCATGGCTACCAAAACATAAAGACTTATTTCAACTGAATCTTTAGTTTTATTTATTTATTTATTTTGTAAATAACTATTTAAAATAAATACAGAATAAAAGACATTTTAATTAAAAATAATGAATGATTCACATTCAATTAAAATTAACGATATAGATTGATGATGACTTATCTTGTAATGGAAGGTAGAGACATGGAGAGTCCCGATCCGGGAAAAAACTAGAAAGTTTAGAGGAATGAAAGAGAAAAACAGAGGGAAGAAGCCAAGAAAACCAAGTCCACTTAGTCAATGATACATATTTATGATTGGATTTCTTTTTATTTATTTACTTATTTAATTTTGGAGAGGCATTATTGACCATCGACCCAGTAGAAAGTTCTAACTTATTACACTGATAATCAAATTCCGATTTGATTATTCTTTTTCTTACAGTTCTAAAAATTCTGTTTTAGGTTTTATACATGACAGCATCTTTTTTTTAGTTCTTATAAAAAAACATTTTTATATATTTTATCTTTATAAATTTGTCAATTTTAATTTTAGTTTCCGTAAAATATTTTACAGAGATAATTTTTTTTTCATAATAATTAAAAACATATTCAGTTCTTTTATAAAATTTTAATTTTTTTAGTCTATACATATTATTTGAAATCAATTTAATTCTTCAGGAAGTACTGAGTATAAGTGAGTATAAAAACACTCTTATTCATTTTTCACGGAAATTACTTTGTCTGCCGTTGGTTGGGCTGTTGTACTACGTAGGCGGAAAGAAAACAATGATAGCGCGGTATATTATATGTCTCCAAAAAACAGCACTAGTAGAAGTTAGAAGATGGAAAGTTGAGAAGCCAATGTCGTATTTTGATCCCTGCATCAGTTCTGGCATTGCTTTTTCAGATTAAAATACATTCATCAGAATATGAAAATCAAATCTTTGACACACCTTTTTATCAAAATTATTATTACTGTTTAAGGGGGACAAAAGGAGTAGTAAAAAGAGTTTGCGAAAAATTGAGCAAACAGTAGTGATAAGAGAAAAACGCAATCCTCTAACGCAGGCCCCAATACCATGGTCTCACGCCTTTCCGTACTGTATCACAGCATAGTGAGTCAACCAGCATTATGTTCAAGATTCCCCTAATGAAGTTTCTTTACAATCCTATCCTTTTGAAAGTTCAGAAACCATGAAAATGTCAATGCAATTTGGTGATTTCAGTGTTACTTCTCCCAACATTAAAGTATAAAAAGTAAAAAAATATTTCAGTTTCAGCTGTCTCAGTTCCTTGTAGCACTCGTGAAGATAGCTTGTGATGAATAAAAAAGCAATGGCATTATGGCCCCAGAGAAACACCAAATCTGAGATCAGTCTAGTCCTGTAAAGTAGACGTTGAAATATAAAATCCTCAAGATCAATTACTATATTCACATGTCCATACTGCATAGTACAGCACTTAATAGTTACAACTTGCGTGTATTAAAAATATGAATATCGGTCGTCTAGAGATCCGGTACTTGAAGAATTATAAATTTCTAATTATATATTAACCAAAAAAATGTTTATATATATATATATATATATATATATATATATATATATATATATATATATATATCACATGTGACCCAATAACTAAATTAAAATCTTATAGAATAATTACCTACAAAATTACCGTTTATATGTATGTATGTATGTATGTACTTTGTATGCTCGTGTACATCAGAGTGACTTCTGAGGTAATAAGCACTTGGTTCACAATCAGTAAGTGTTTTAACACCACCAACTGGTTGTTCTGACTCCGATTCCAGAGTGTTATAGTCCCAATTGGTGGTTCCCTTGTGAGCCTCAGTTTCATGACCTGAGAACCATGCGGATATTATAGAGATACACCTTTTGCTAATAAAGCATAGTAATAGAAAATGAATGAAATGTATTATGATGCAGCTTCAACGAAACAAAGCAACATTGGCTTTGAAGAGAAGGGTCGAGAAAAGAAGCATTTACCTGTGCCTGAAATTGTGGATAGCGGGAGTTCGGTTAGAAGTGTGACACAATTTTTTAGTGCCTGGAGATCAGCTTCCTTCTATTGGAGTTTCGATCGAACCAGGTATAGTTCTGATTTCAATTCCACAATCTGGTTTTCCTCCCGTTCTACCTGCAACTGACATAGTTTCTGACTCTATTCTGATGCCGACACTGCATGGAATTGAGAAGAGTTGAAATTCAAGTTATCAGTTCCATTATATAGCCTTCATTTTGGAACTTTAACCTGCAAACGAGTTCCTTGATGAAGAATCACCCCCAAATGAGGGAAGAAGTAATATGAAATCTCAAGTGCAATATTTTTTTTCCACTGTAAATATATTAATCAGTAAGAAAAGACCAAAATCGTAAAAGAAGTCCACAACCTAGCTATAGCTGAAGAAAGAATTTCCTTATACAAAGAAGTTTACCTCGTATAATTTTGGCCTTATTTCTTCATGAAAATTACTGTCGAAACTATCCCCGGGAACTTTTGGAGTTCAAACTCATGTTCTGCTTCCAGTTGATGCATTTCTAGAACCAGCGGTCCGAGTCTTCTGTAAGACCACTACTTTCCACGTTCACCATTATCAATGGAGACACCAAAATTTAGTGTCAGTGTCTGAGTTCTCTCTTTGTTTTCTTCAACGTTGTTTCTTCATCCCTCCCACTCATTTTGCAATATTCCATACCAAATCTAACTCCCGAATCAATTTTTTTAATACGATGCTAAAATTTATTTTTTTAAAAGAACAAGGAAAATTCAACAAAAAGGTTAACAATTTTGGAACAAAAGGTTAAAGTATAACCATTCAATCCGTGTAGTTTACATATAATCAGTCTCTTTGTATGAAAAAAATATTTCAAGTTTAGTCTCTTTCTACTCTTGTAGTAAATATTGATCTTACTGCCATTGTGTTTTGGTTGTGTTTTAATCTCATACTTAATAAGAGCTAACGTGATTTTTTTTTTTTTCAGAAAACTTAACAAATAATGGATGAGTTTGTTTCTACTTATTTGATATGTTCGTCGGATATGTTAATTTAATGAGATCACTTGCTGGTTCCTGCTGATTCTACACCGGAGAGGAATCGCCTGGTAAGTTTTATTTTTTAAATGCTATAACATTTTCATCAAACGGTCAAGGCAAGTTCATTTGTTATTTATTGCCATAACCCTAATTTTCTTTCACAGTTCTATTGGATATAAGAAAGGAAATGACTTTAGTATTGGGATTTCATTGGAGTGTTACTTGGCATCACGTGGCTGAAAAGATATATACATATGTAGTAATAATTTAAGGGTGATGATATTTTCACATCACTATTAATTTCAAATATTCGATTAACAACCTATTTTATTAATAAAAATAATAATAAACATATAAATATAAACGTTTATTATTATAAAATGAATACATAATTGTTGTTTAGATATTTGTTTGATAAGGATTATTAATTTATTATTTTTGATAATTTAATAACTACGTACATGTAATTTATGATTATTTATTTATCTATATATTTAAAAAAAAAAAAAAAACGTCCTTACAAAGACTATCCTACACTGAATCTATTCAAAATAAAAAATGTGATCAACTTATTAGATTCTGCTTAATGATGAGAGTTAATTAAAATTTTTATAGTCATTCGTTACTTAAAAATATACTTAAATTATTTACATTTTATCTAACATGTGTCCTGACAAGTTAAAAAGTATTAATTTATTAATTTTTTTCATTCATGTAGAAAATATAAAATAATAAATTATTAAAAAACATAAACTAATAAAATAAAAAACATTAAATTTTTAATGTTAATTAATTAATTACTTTTATAAATTATAATGTTTATTTATTTAGTTTTTTTAGTTATATTAACTTCAGCATGAAATTTATATCTATTAAATTTAAAATAAAGTTAGTAAATATTTTTATGTAACATGTATCGTATAATTATTTTCTTTATTTTTTTTTAATGATCCACAAATAATACTATATATAGGTATATGACACGATATAATAATTCACAAATAATATTTTGCGTAAATAATTTTTAAACTATAATCAAAGTAATAGTTCTTATACAATAATCTAAATAAATAATTCGCATATAATAATTTATGTTAATAATCTACGAAAATATATTTTATTTAAGTAATCATCGAAGATAATATATCTATTAACTTATATATGATATTTTATTAGATAAATTATCAATAATATTTTGATAAGATAATCAACATAAAATATTATTTTATGATATATTTTTAATTTTATTATTATTTTATAATCAAATTTTAAATATATATTTTAAATTTTTTATAAAATGATTTTTTTGTTTTTTTCTGATTATAATGATACAAATAAAAAAAGTTTTTATATTTTTTTGTTATTACGATATTTTGTTTTAATTTTTTTGTCAGCATCATATTATTTTATTTAAAATCTCTTAATTTTTATTATTAAATATACATCATTATAAATAAGTAAAAGTTGTAAGATGGATAAAATGAGTAAATGGATTAATAAAATAATAATAAAAAAATGGAAAAAATAAATTGATGAAATAAAAAATAATTACGTGTGTGTAAATGAAACATGTTAGCGAAACTCAAACCAATTTTGCTAGATCGGCTTCATCGATATCTAGATTATCGATTTATTGTACTTCAAATACTTTTGGTCTTTAAAATATCTTGGACTCTAAACTTTCGAACTTCTTACTAATTGATTTGTTATCTTCTCGAGTTTCTTTCATCATTTATCTTAATAATTTATATCTCCACACTAGTTACTGTTTGAGTATCTTATGACTCAGTAGTCATCCGACCTTGTGTAAAGTAGTCTGAGTGACAGTGTACCTAAAATATATCTCATAATTCGTTTTAATACCTTCCAATGAGAGTACTTTGGACTCTCCATAAACGACTGAATCTCAATACTCAATAATAAATAAGATATGTGGTAACAAGACATCCAACTAGCCTTAAATATCTACTCGGATCAACTATGTCTATTGAACATTCAAGGACTTGGTGTTGCACTTGATGGACATAAAGATTGTTGATTTTGATGATGATTCAAAAACACAAAGACTTAGAGTGTTGAAGACTTGTTTTGTATTGTAATAACTCTGTTTCAATTAGATTGAGTCTGTAATATTAGAGTTTAAGATAGCCGGTACATAGTCTGCACCTTAGAAGCTTCAAAAAGCTCAAATTTATCATCCAGGCTCGGCTTTAATCGATTAAATAGGGAAATAATCAATTAAAACAGTGAGAAAAATCATTTTCTGTAACAACTCACTGGTTTAATCGATTAACAGGCGGTTTAATCGATTAAACCACCTTTTAATCGATTAAAACAGAGAGGTTTGGGTTCTGTTGTTTTTTTGGCTCTGTTTTAATCGATTAACACTTCATTTAATCGATTATTTCAGTCAGATTTTTATTTTTAACTTCAAATCAAACCTATTTTCGAAAACCCTATTCCAAGAACCCTAGTTTCGAAATCCCCAATTCCTAAACCCTAATTTCTCTACTTAAACTCTTCTATAGCACTCAGAAAAGAAGAACAACCTTTTTCATACAAAAGTTAAGTGTTGTGAGTGCCAGAGAACTATTTGTTGCAAGAAAAGGGGGCTTTTGGAACCTGGTGTGGGCTAGAAGCGATAAGAATCACTAAGTGGAGTTCTTAGTGGATTGTGTGTTGTGCCGTCTCTAGGGAAAATTGTTCATCATCTCTTGTGAATTTCAAGAGAGGTGTTTTCTTATCTTTATCTTTTCAATTGTAATTTGCTTGTAACAACTTGATTATAGTGACAGAGTTAATCCTCTGTTTGAGTGATTAGCAACTGGACGTAGGGTCTTTTGATCCGAACCAGTATAAATTTCCTGTGTAAGATTCTCTTCTCTTCTCTATTTACATTTACACAGTTTTTAATCGGTAAAATTTGGGGAAAATTTTGAAAACCTAATTTTTATTAAGAAACCAATTCACCCCCCCTCTTGGTTTTTGTCCGACCACGCGATCATTCCGCTGCGGGATTCTAACAAGTGGTATCAGAGCTTGCTTTGATAGTCATTCAAATTTTCGAAAATGGCCGGACAAAATCAAACTTTTGTCGAAGGTGCGTCTATCAACAGACCCCCACTTTTTGCGGGTCAAAATTATTCTTTCTGGAAGGTACGAATGCAAATCTTTTTAGAGTCTGTTGATAGAGGCGTTTGGGACGCTATTTTAAACGGTCCATTTGTTCCTAAAATTACTGAAAGCGGTGTTGACGTTCTTAAACCTTTTTCTAGATGGACTGTAGAAGAAAATAGGAAAGCCCAATTTGACGTTAGGGCTAGAAATATTATTTCATCTGCTCTAACCCTTGACGAGTTTTATAGAATTTCTGTTTGTAAAAGTGCACAGGAAATGTGGAAAATGCTTAGAGTGACCCACGAAGGTACTGACGACGTCAAGAGAGCACATAAAAACTCCCTAATCCAAGAATACGAGATGTTCTGGATGCAACAAGGCGAAACGATATTTGACGTTCAAAAGCGTTTCACTCATATTGTGAATCATCTCACCGGATTAGGTAAAGTATTTGACATTGATGAATTAAATGTTAAAATTTTGAAATCTTTGGATAGGAAATGACAACCTAAGGTGACAGTCATCTCGGAGTCACAAAATCTTGCCACTATGTCTATGGCGGCGCTCTTTGGAAAACTTAGAGAACATGAATTAGAGCTTGGAAGGTTAAACGAAGAAGAAGGATAATTTCAAAAGAAGAATCTAGCTTTCAAAACCGAAATCTCCAAAGGTAAAAATAAAAGGGAAGAAGAAGACTCAAACGATGAAGAAGAAGAGATGAGTCTAATGATAAAGAAGTTCACCAAATTCATGAAAGCCAAAGGAAGACATCCCTTCAAAGGTAAAGGAAAGGTAAGGGAAAATTCTTCTGTAAATATAAAATGTTATGGTTGTGGTGAAACAGGACATGTTAAGACCGAATGTCCAAATAAAAAGAACGATGAATTCAAAGGCAAAAAGGTCTTCAAGAAGAAAGCCTATATTGCTTGGGACAACAGTGACTCAAGCTCGGAATCAAGTGACTCAGAAGTTGAAGCAAATATTTGCTTAATGGAAAATGACAACATATCATCCGATTTTGAGGTAAGTGATTCCGACACATCTTCTAGTGATGAGGAGAATAACTATGATGAATTGCAAAATGCTTATAATGAATTGTTTAGTGCTTTTAAGAATTTGAAAAATGAATATAAAGTTGTAAAGAATAACTTAAGTAGATCCGAAAAGGAAATAGACTCCTTAAAAATGAAAATCACATGTTTAGAAGAAAAGGAGTCCTTAAATACGAAAATTGTATGTTTAGATGAGGAAAATGATAAGAACCTAGCATGTGCAAATTGTAAAGAGCATGAATATGACATAGACATTCTTAACCATTTGCTAGACAAAGCCGAAAAAGAAATAGATGATCTTAAGAAGCATGAAATGGTGTTTGCTCAAAATAG